CGTCCTCCACACCCTTCTTGGCTCTTCTCTATCCAGTCCTCCCCTTGGCACCTCACTGATCCCCTGCCTGTCCCTTATTTTTTTTTTTTTTTTTAAGATTTTATTTATTTATTTGAGACAGAGAGAATGAGAGAGAGCGAGTACATGAGAGGGGGGAGGGTCAGAGGGAGAAGCAGACTCCCTGCCGAGCAGGGAGCCCGATGCGGGACTCGATCCAGGGACTCCAGGATCATGACCTGAGCCGAAGGCAGTCGCTTAACCAACTGAGCCACCCAGGTGCCCCCTGCCTGTCCCTTAAATGCAGCCCTTCCTCAAGCTGCTGGCATTCTGTCCCCACTACCCAGGTTCCTGTCGGGTCGCGATGATATTTGAAGGACTAATTAATATACTTTTTTGTTAATAGTATTTACTCCTCTCTTACCTCATCCCTTAACCCAATCCAAACATGGGAAGTGGAACAGACATTAAAGGCCCACAGTATTCACATCTGTTTGGGTTGTATTGCTCCCACCTTGGGTCCAGAAGTGGGAGTGGGGAATTTACCAAGGACTGGGGATAGGCAGCAAGGGCCCATCTGGAGGACACACACAACATGTCAGTATCTTGATCTCTTCTCCTTTCTCTCTGCTTCTGCCAACCCAGAGAAGTTTATCTGGTCTGCGAGGCCTAGAGACATGGGAGTGTCAAATCAAGACCCAATTAGTGAAAGAATAGTATGATATTAACTGGTGACATTGGGGAAGAAGAAAGGGCTGAGGCTTGAGGGGAAAAAAAATCAAGTCTTAGGCATGGAGCGAGGAGAAAGCACATTTTGAAAAATAAAAGGATGCGTTTTAAATTTAATCAGGTACAGGGGCGCCTGAGTGGCTCAGTCGGTTAAGTGTCTGCCTTCCGCTCAGGTCATGATCCCAGGGTCCTGGGATCAAGCCCCGCATCCAGCTCTTTGTTCAGTGGGGAGCCTGCTTCTCCCTCTACCTCTGCAGCTCCCTGCTTGTGCTGTCTTTCTCTCTCTGTCAAATAAATAAATAAAATCTTTAAAAAAAATAAATAAATAAATTTAATCAGGTACAAAAGTTGCAAACAAAATGGGAAATGTTAGATATAGAAACCTATAGGTAGGGTGCCTGGGTGGCTCAGTTGGTTAAGCGACTGCCTTCGGCTCAGGTCATGATCCTGGAGTCCTGGGATAGAGTCCTGCCTCGGGCTCCCTGCTCGGCGGGGAGCCTGCTTCTCTCTCTGACCCTCCCCCCTCTCATGTGCTCTCTGTCTCTCTCATTCTCTCTGTCTCAGATAAATAAATAAAATCTTAAAAAAAAAAAAAGAAAGAAACCTATGGGTAGAACAGAACAGTCCTGATCTTAAATGGCTAAGACTTTTTACCTCATTATTGCTTCATTAAACCAGCTTTTTAGTGCCCAATTTTCCAGCAGGAGATGAATAATGAATTTAATAAAAATGATAATGAAGGGAAATTATCCCAGACTGAATTCCTGGTGCAGATGAAAATTTCTTTCTCTGAGCACCAGAAAACAGGTTTGTAGCCCAGGCCATATCTGGGTTTTCAGAATGTGGCCCTCGATCTTCTGCAACAGTGATAGTCCCTGTTAAGAGGCCATTCCTCAGACTTACCCCGGACTTACTAAATCAATCTCTAAGGGGAACCCTAATAATATGCAATGTTAACAACCACCTCAGGTGACTTTTATGCATGCTCAGATTATACACTCACTGCCTCAGAATTTAAGGAAACTTGCCAAGAGGGTGTGAAGAATGTTGACACCTTGCATTAGGGAACAGTCTATATTTCTATTATAGAATAATTATTTTATTTAAATAAAAAGTATATAAACTAAAATCTTCTCTTCACTGCAACATCATTCAAAATCTTCCCATCAATTCAGGTAATTATTACCCCTTCCCATCACTAAAATAATATATTCTATAAATAACAAAAAATTATGATTCAGGTGGTAGGAATGAACATTTGATGTGTTTTAGGATTCCATCTGGTGACTTTATCTTCCTCTTCTGGGCCTCTCTCTGATATTCTTTTTTTAAAAGTACTGTCAATTAAATGACGCACTTTTTTTTTTTTTTAAGATTTTATTTATTTATTTGAGAGAGAGAGAATGAGAGACAGAGAGCATGAGAGGGAGGAGGGTCAGAGGGAGAAGCAGACTCCCTGCTGAGCAGGGAGCCCGATGTGGGACTCGATCCCGGGACTCCAGGATCATGACCTGAGCCGAAGGCAGTCGCTTAACCAACTGAACCACCCAGGCGCCCCTCTCTCTGATATTCTTGATATTCTATGATATTTTGGCAAAATGCTGCTTCTCTCTTTCCTGGATGCATGGCCACTCAGCTGGTGACTACATTTCCCAACCTCATTTACAGCCACATGTGGCCATATGACCAAGTTTGAGCCAATGGAGTGTGATTGAAAGATGTATACAATTTCCAAATCATCCCTAACTTAAGTCAGGCTGGTCTCTCTGGAATTTGGCTTTTCTCACATTCTGTAAATCGCATCAAGGAAACGAGAAAGTGGCTTCAATCGTGCAGAAAAAGACCATGTCCAAAGAGATGGAATAACAAAACGGAAGGGACTTAGTTCTTGATTAACCCTAATGAGAAGAGATGTTCCACCAGCTTAGACAGGCTGGATTGTTACATGAAGGAAAAATTAGCTCCCAAATTATTTAAGCCACTAAGTTTTAGCCTTCTCTTTGCTATAGCATCTCAGCCTTTACCCTAACGAACACTAAAAACTACCCTTAGCCAATTACCACTTAAAGCCACCCATTAAATCAGATTTCTGAATCCTTTAAGTCAGTGTCATATTTATCCTCCCTAATAGACACTATGTGTACATGGACAATGGAACACATAAGGGGACTATAAAAAAAATTCTAAGACATAAGCAAATGCAGAAGGTCACTATGCATGTAGGTAAAACCTAGATTTATGAGGTTAGTATGATTTATGAGGCAGCTTTGTCCCTAGGACCTGTCTTTGTATCCCATTGGAATATATTCCTTTCAAGCATCTCAACAAAGAGCACACTTTTTTCACTGTTTAAAAAAAGTATTTGGTTTCTTGTACAAAATATAAATTGATTTAAGGTGTTTAAGAAAGGATTTTCGGGTGTTGAAAGAGGTAAGTCATTGAGTAGACTCTTCAATTTGCTATCCAAAAAAAAGGTACAAATTGAATGCTCTCAATTTAGTAAATAACACACATACAAAAAAGTGGTTCTGAGTTTTTATATGTTTGACTTAAAACAATTGAACTTGTGCATTATATAAAGATGCCCTTAAACTGTATTTCATGTCTTGAATTCAGACTTTCTTAAGACATCTGGAAAACCAACATTTCATACTGCTCATACTGCCTGCCCCAACACTGTATTTGATTTTGCCACATTCGACCCCAAAACAGACTCGAATATGTAACTGAGTGCTGCCTGTAAACATATTTACACAGAAAAAATACATGAAAATGTCATTAGTGAGTTAGAGGACTACATTACCACTTACCCTGAGTTATGAGATTACAGACTATTTTTACGTTCCTGTCTTGTCTATTTCTGCATTTTCAAAACTATATATAATGAGCTTATAGTTTTATAATAAAGAGGAAACAGATCTATAGGATCTCACTACTGTAGCAGGATTTCTCATTCTCTTTCCGTGTCTTCTCAGTTCTTACTGCACTGCCTCACACATAATAGATGCTCAATAAATAAATGCAAGAGAAGGAAGAAAGGAAAAAAAAAAAAACGAAAAGGAAGAATGAAATGGAAAGGGAGAAATCTGCTAGGTACCATCTGTTTGCCCCTCCAGATTCACTCTCCACCCTCCTTTGAACCCGAAGACTGACCAGCATGAACTGCCTTGGTGAGCTCCTTATTCTCTGGTTTCCAGTTGGCTTTGGCCAAGGGGATGCACTGACAGATCAGAGGTGTGGAATAAATAGCTATGTATTCCCTAGGGCAGCTCCCTGTGGGTCACTGCAGGCTGCTGTCCCCCTCAACCAACCAGACCCAAGACCCTTCCCACACAGAGCATTGCCCCCTCTCTCCCTTTGGATCTTGGGGTGGCAATGTGCCTCACTTTAACTAGATGCAAGGGGCTGCACTCTCTTTTGCCCCATTTTTACATCTTGTCCAGCCCTTTATAAATAGTTCCTTTATGAGACGCTCCTCAAAGTGTCTAAACTGGATGTACCATTTATATATTGCTGAGACCCAGACTGATAAAGACTCTGTTGGTGACAAAAGAATCCAACAAGTTCTGTCCTCCAGGAACTAATCTTGAAGGATTCAGAAAAATGTTTTTAAAAACATCACCAAGTATTGCTCATTTCAAAGGTTTAAACAAGGGGCACCTGGGTGGCTGTCGTTAAGCGTCTGCCTTTGGCTCAGGTCATGATCCCAGGGTCCTGGGATTGAGCCCTGCATCGGGTTCCCTGCTCAGCAGGGAGCCTGCTTCTCCCTCTCCCACTCCGCCTGCTTGTGTTCCCTCTCTCGCTGTGTCTCTCTCTGTCAAATAAATAAATAAGATCTTAAAAAAAAAAAGGTTTAAACAACAAAAAGATTATTCTCATTGAGGAACTCCAGTTTTACACCAAAGATTTTGTAGTTATGAACTAGTTATTATGCTTTTTCTCTTGAAAAGATAAAAAATCTACATGCATAGTCCTTTCTTTCTTCATCCTTACAGTAACTTTAGAGATTTAACACCCTCTAAATACTCAATATTAATTGTTTAAAACATTCATAAATGAAGGATGCCTATTGTAGTATGAGAATGTTTTCAGAAATTAGTTATTCCTTTTCAAAGATCATTTTTCATCTATTTATCAATATGATTCTTTTCCCTTGGCGTCCTTGAAGGTGAAAAAAATTTTTTAACCCAGAAAAGACAATGTGGGGCTATTTTAATACTTAAAATTAGTATTAATTTTTTAAAAGTTGTAAATTCAAAAACAAGAGGTCTTGATCCAATTTACAAATCTTATTATTTTATTTCTACACCTAGCAAATTTTAACATCAATCTTTAAGTGGCCCTTTATTAATATTTGCTATTATTTACAAACTTAACTAAACTTCACTGGCAGAACTTACTCAAATGTTTAGGACAGGAATGAATCTAATACAGTAAAATTGTAAAATTTTGTGAATCTTATGTTCTCTTAAACATTGCAATGCTCTGGGGCGCCTGGGTGGCTCAGATGGTTAAGCGTCTGCCTTCGGCTCAGGTCATGATCCCAGGGTCCTGGGATCGAGTCCCACATCGGGCTCCGGGCTCAGTGGGGAGCCTGCTTCTCCCTCTGACCCTCTCCCCTCTCATGCTGTTTCTCTCTCGCTCGCTCTCTAAAAAATAAATAAAATCTTAAAAAAAAAAAAAAACATTGCAATGCTCTTTACAAGCTTTATAACTCTAAAATTAAAATTTTAATTATACATTTTAAGTTGAAATCATGAGGATATCAGATCTTTTAATAAGCCAAATTACCTTAACTATTACAAGTACTTTAAATATAAAACATACACAAATCATACCCAAGTTAATGCAAAATAACTTATTTCATTGGTTTTTAGCTCATTATTTCTGTAAGGGTCAGATGAGATATTTACATCATCAAAGCAAATTGGAGCTGTTATCACAAGTAAATGGATTTAAACATCCCAAACAAACAAGATTATCTGCTTAGTGGCTGATATTGAACCAAAAAGCTTTGACTAAGGCACCTCTGGAGCAGCCAACATCTAAAGCAGTTTTTCTTGCAACACTGAGGCTGCCTGAGCCTTATTTTATGGGGTGGTCTCAACAGCCCCAGTCCTCGGATTCAGGTTATATATTACCTAATACTTAAGATTGGGTTCAGTTAATTTATTTACTCCTTGATTCTATTCTTAATTCTTTTCATATTTTTCCTTTTGGTAGACACAATTCTTATAGATATTTTAATGATACCAGTTAGGCTGTGCATATCTTTTTTTTTTTCTGTCATGATAATGATAGGAATCTCTTACCATCACTGCCACTCTTCTTTAGGTAGCCGTATGATAGCAACGGCCTGGGTGAAGGATTTGTTTCATAGTAAGCATTTTAACGTTTCCCTGCCCTCTTGGGCCCTGCTCCTGGATTGTATGACTTAGCCTGTGAAGGACTGGTCCTACATGACTTGTGCTGAGTGGGTCTGGGCTGAGAAGGCTTAGATTGGGAGACCTGGGGTGGGCATGGCTTGGGCTGAGTGGGTCTGGGCTGAGAAGGCTTAGATTGGGAGACCTGGGGTGGGCATGGCTTGGGCTGAGTGGGTCTGGGCTGAGAAGGGTTAGATTGGGAGCCCTGGGGTGGGCATGGCTTGGGCTGAGTGGGTCTGGGTGGAGAGGGTTTAGCTTGGGAGGGCTGGGGTTGAGTGGGTTTGGGTGGGAAGGGTTTAGCTTGGGAGGGCCAGGGCTGAGTGGGTTTTGTGTGAGTGGGTTTGGGTTGAGAGGGCACAGGTTGGGATTGCTTGAACTGGGATGGCTTGGGCTGGTTGGATGTGAACTGGGAGCTGGGTAAACATTTGCTATTGGGCCTGGGATAGGATCCCATTTGGAAAGCTGGATTTGAAGGCCCATCCTGTGTCTTCAGTTTGGCTCCTTGCTGAGAAGCAGGTCTTACAGGTTTTTGTATGGCTCCTGCTGGTTGAAAGGCCTGGGGGTAAAGACCTTCAATATGGGGTATTGTTTTCATAAGCTTCCCGGTTGCCCTAGTTGGCTGTGTTCTCTGGGTATAGGCTTGCTTAGGCTGTGGCTTCCCAGCTGTTCCTGCTGACTGCAAACTCAGGGAATGGAAGTGACCTAAGTGGGAGACCACTTCCCCAGATCTTTCAAGAGCTCCCGTTGTCTGTGGTCTCTCAGGCCAGGCCTGTACATGATGAGATTTAGGTCTTGGTGGTCTCCCAAATGTTTTATCCGTGCGATGTCCCCAAGCAGTTCTTGAAAATTTCATAAATCTTTCAGGTGAATAAAATCTCTGGGGTTGGAAGTCCTGAAACCTAAAACATTTACCTCGACCATAGTCCCTTGTTTTCTGAAAGGGCCAGGGACGGAACCACTTAGACCTCTGCTCTGACCAAAAATAGGAGCCCATAACCCAGGGGGCTTTCAAAGAAACATGGTTAAAGTCACCTCCAATTCTGGTTGGTAAAGGACAGAAGTTTTCCAATACTGGGGTGTGGTGGAAATTCTGAAGATTCCAGCTAGCCCCAGGCTCTCTTACAGGCATCTCAGCTGGGCTTTCAGATGAGCTTTCTGGCTGACTGTATCTTTGTTGTCTCTCATCTTTAGCTGTTCCAGCCAGGTTTTCACTAGGGGAACTGTGAATTCCCTGAACGTTCTCAAAGTCTTGGTCTACCTGGATTCCCAACTCCCTGGCCAGGGAGCCCATGTCCTCCATAGACACACATCTGAGTGGAGAGGACATCACTTCCTGCAGAGCTGCTTGAAGACCCTCCATATTTTTCCCTTTCTCCCCAGCTTCCTCCCCCTCCCAAAACAGTAGCTGTGATAGCTTCAACTTTAGAATCCTCTGGAAAAGCTGAGCCTCTTCACTCTCCTGGGCCTGGGGACTGAGGACAAAGTAGAATCTTTCAGTGGCAGCTTCTCCTAAAAACATTAGCAAGTCCCACTCCTTCTCACCTATGTAGTCAGTGAAAAAAAATACAGCTGAGGAAACTTCCACCAAAAAACCAAACTGTGTCCAAAAACTTTCTAAGTCTCCACGGAGGTTGGCCAGAGCAACAGGCTTTTGGAAAAAACTAGGGTTTTCCTTTAGACTATCGCTCTCAGGAAAATGCCACATTATCTCAACCAGGCCATCAGAGATTTGCCGGGGAAGCACTGGGACAGTAAAATCCTGATGGAGAAAGATTTTGTGTGATTGTCCTGGTTGGGCAGGACCAAGCAGTCTGTTAAGGATTCTGGACTTGGAGAAGCTACAGTATCCTAGGCGCACAAAAGAGATGATAGGCATCTTCGGAAACGTTTCTGTGTCCACTGTAGGCCCTCCTGAAGACTGTGTTGACCACTGTTTCACAATGTCCTTCATGGCCTCTAGCATTAAGATAGTTTTGTTGTTTTCTGCATCTGGCAGGAGCAGGGGAAGAGCAAACCGGCACTGATACATGTTTGACATGATTTCACGCTGCAACAAGCTGTCTGAACAGAGCATAGAGGCACAAAGAACATCAAAGGGATGAATGGTTTGTATGTCCCTGATTTCCAAATTCTCTACTCCAGCCAGCAATTCCTCTTTGCCATCCTCACCCGGAACCTTGTGTCTGAGGATTGTATCTCTGGCTGTCACATCCAGAGCTTGAACTTTCATCAGGAAATTCCAGGCTAAGTCTCCTGGAGTCTCAGGGGTCCACATACATCCTCGATCTAAGGAGAATTGTTTGACAACATCTGGCAGAAGCTTTCTGCTCCTATCCATGTTCAAACATGACAGGACATCTTTAAACATATTTTTTCTTTCTGTAGGGAAGAAGATACTCAGTGAATGTCACATTCAGAGTCTAAGCTTCCTTCATGGAGTTTTAAAATTAAATAAGTAATTGACATTTTCATTATGAAAAGATGGAACACAAATAAAGTGAAATTGCCCTTTTTCCACTCTGCCAATTCCACTTTTCTTCTAAGAGATGTCAACATGTTACGAATGTTTGCTTCCTATCCTTATTACGTGCAAGTACATAAGTATGCATGCATATAGAGAAATATACCTTTTGATTTAGTGGATGCTATTTTATTTTTACATAAATGATATTATACTAAACAAATGATTCTTCAACTTCTTTTCACTTAATGGTATTCTTTGCAAATTCTTCCAAATCAGTTTATACAGAGATTGACTTAATTCATTTTAGCTAATCCATCATATTTCATGATTTAGATGGACCATTACTTATTTAACCATTGTCTACTGATGATCATTTAGGTTTTTCAATTTTTTGACTAATGTTTATATGCAGCAATGAAAAACATTGTTAATGCTTCATGATATACATGTGTGAGGAATTTTCTAGGTTGATACTGTTTTCTTTCTTAAATGTATCTCTTGCTAAAGTTTGGAGAAATGGAAGATTTTATTTCCATTAAACATTTCTCAGAATTTATGTGTTGTACCTAATTTCTCCTGATCTCCCATTTTCTAATATACCTCCTAACCACTTCTTGGGAATACAGAAATAGTGCTTAGTAGAGAAAGAAGACCAGAGAGCATTTTCTACTTCTGGTAGAGGGCAAACTAGCATAAGATTCTTGGGTCCCCTATAAAAATAACCTGGAAGAGGGGTGCCTGGGTGGCTCAGTCAGTTAAGCATCTGACTCTTGATTTCAGCTCAGGTCACGATCTCAGGGTTGTGGGATAGAGCCCTGTGTTGGGCTCTGCACTCAGCAGGGAGTCTACTTGAGATTCTCTCTCTCCCTCTCCCTCTGCCCCTCTTCCTGCTCTCTCTCTCTTTCTCAAATAAATATATCTTTAAAAAAAAAAAAACCCTGGAAGAAACAACAGAAGTGAGCAAAGAGTACGGATTTTAAGAACTAACAAAGGTAACTCTAAGAAATCCTTGGGCAGTCTAAAAGTTGCTTGAATTAGAATATGTTTTGGGGTAAGAAGGTGAGGGAAGAGTTGAGGCTAGCAAAATGGATTCCCAGAGGAGGCAGTGAGAGGATAGGTTGCAGGAAAGCTTTTAGGTCCTGTTCTTGTCTATCACCTATTTTGTCTTTGGACAACAACCCACTATTTCTTCAGCACAAAAACCAGGACTCACACAGGCCAGGCCAGATGTCTACTCTTGACAAGGTAATAACAGGGTTACTATGGGGGCTCCTGGGTGGCTCAGTCGTTAAGCGTCTGCCTTCAGCTCAGGTCATGATCCCAGGGTCCTGGGATCGAGCCCCATATCGGGCTCTCCACTCCATGGGAAGCCTGCTTCTCCCTCTCCCACTCCCCCTGCTTGTGTTCCCTCTCTCGCTGTGTCTCTCTGTCAAATAAATAAATAAAAATCTTAAAAAAAAAAAAATAACAGGGTTACTATGGAGCTCATTTGGGATACCCCCAAGAAGCAACAGAGTAAATCTTATACACAGCAACAATGATACAATCAATAAGCACAGAGCTGGATACAAAGAAAAAGAAAAAGTTAAGAAGCAATAATATCTAGAACCCAATACATTTTTATAAATTTAAAATTCATGAAAACAGCCCAGCTAAGGCAAAAAGAAATGATCAGAGATTTTAGCTGCCAACCACTGAAACGAGAATTTCAAATCTGAGTCCAGTTAGGTTAATTGGAAACTAAAACAGATTAAAAAACAAAAAAACAAAAAAACTAAGTCTCTTTGGAGATATTTAGCAATCTAGAAGGGCACCTGGGTGGTTCAGTCAATTAAGCACCTGCCTTGGGCTCAGGTCATGATCTCAGGGTCCTGGGATTGAGCCCTGCATTGGGTTCCCTGCTCCACAGGGAGCCTGCTTCACCCCCTCCCTATGTCTGCTGCTCCCCCTGCTTGTGCACTCTCTCTCTCTCTCTCTCTGTCAAATGAATAAATAAAATCTTAAAAAAACAAAAACAAAAACTTTAGTCTTAGAAAGAGACTTGTAGTCTCAGAGAGGAGGGAGCAACTGGGACAGAAAAAAATATTTGGATAAATAGTGGCTGAAGATTTTCCAAATTTGATTTAAAAAAAAAGTTTTACAGATTCACAAAACTCTCTAAACCCTAACGAGGATAAAAACAAAATGGCTAAAAAAAATTTTAAGAAAAAAATCCTGAAATCACCCAGAATAAAAATGACACTTATAGGAAACAATGAAAAAACAAAACAAAACAAAACAAAACTGCAGGCCTAGCATCAGAAACAATGGAAGCCAAAAGACAAAGGAATGGCATCCATAAAGTGCTGAAGGCAGAAAAATTGCCAATCTCTAATTCTATACCTAGCAAAAATATCATTCTGGAATGAAAGCAAAATAGACATTTTTCAATAAACAAAACCCAAGAAAATTTCCCACCAACAGACCTGCACTAAAAGAAATAATAAATAAAATTCTTCAGACTAAAGGGAAACAACATCACATTAAAACTTAGACCTTCAGGGGCGCCTGGGTGGCTCAGTCATTAAGTGTCTGCCTTCAGCTCAGGTCATGATCCCAGGGTCCTGGGATCGAGCCCTGCATTGGGCTCCCTGCTCGGCGGGAAGCCTGCTTCTCCCTCTCCCACTCCCCCTGCTTGTGTTCCTGCTCTCGCTATCTCTCTCTGTGTGTCAAATAAATAAATAAAATCTTAAAAAAAAAAAAAAAACTTAGACCTTCAGGAAGAGGGAAAGGGCGCAGAAAATGGTAAATCTATGGGTTCCTCCCACTGGATGAACTCAACTATAAACTGGAAGGGAAGGGAGGAGATTGATACAGTCTATATACAAGTCGACCTTATACAGTACAGAGCACATAGAGCAACACCATAGCCTTCCTGAGACTTAGATTCGACACTGATATTTTTTTGTCATGAAATTTAACATAACAAAAAGCATGACGACTCTTCTCCTTTGAATCAGATTAATTTGGATTTTTTTTCAGTTCCTAGCTACATATATAAATAAATATTACAGACGAAAGAGACAGAGGATAGCCATATGCCTCCAGTCAACTAGAGTGGATTGGTTAGCTATTAGAATTACATTGCAAGTCATAACTACATTATTACTGAAACTTTTCTTTCTTTTTTTTTTTTTTTTAAAGATTTTTTAATTTATTTGACAGAGAGAGACACAGTGAGAGAGGGAACACCAGCAGGGGGAGTTGGAGAGGGAGAAGCAGGCTCCCCTCTGAGCAGGGAGCCTGATGTGAGGCTCGATCCCAGGACCCTGAGATCATGACCTGAGCCAAAGGCAGACGCTTAACGACTGAGCCACCCAGGTGCCCCTTACTGAAACTTTTCTTGACCTGTTTTCCTAAAGGTGTTAGATTGGTTGCAAAAATTAGCCCCAATTAATGGCTTTCTGGATATATTTTGGCTTTCTGCAATATTACTTTGTAAGAAGAAGATGTGGTATATATATACAATGGAATATTATGCAGCCATCAAAAGGAATGAAATCTTGCCATTTGCAACGATGTGGATGGAACTGGAGGGTATTATGCTGAGCGAAAAAGTCAATGAGAGAAAGACATGTATCATGTGACCTCACTGACATGAGGAATTCTTAATCTCAGGAAACAAACTGAGGGTTGCTGGAGTGGTGGGGGGTGGGAGGGATGGGGTGGCTGGGTGATAGACATTGGGGAGGGTATGTGCTATGGTAAGCGCTGTGAATTGTGTAAGACTGTTGAATCACAGACCTGTACCTCTGAAACAAATAATACATTATATGTTGAACAAAAGGAAAAAGAAGAAGATAGCAAGAAGGGAAAAATAAAGGGGGGGGGGATCAGAGGGGGAGACAAACCATGAGAGATTATGGACTCTGAGAAACAAACTGAGGGTTCTAGAGGGGAGGGGGGTGGGAGGATGGGTTAGCCTGGTGATGGGTATTAAAGAGGGCACGTACTGCATGGAGCACTGGGTGTTATACGCAAACAATGAATCATGGAACACTACATCAAAAACTAATGATGTACTGTATGGTGATTAACATAACATAATAAAAAAAAAAGGACATCAGCAAAAAAAAAAGAAAAAAGAAACAAAACAAATGAAAAAAAGGGGAAAAAAAAGAGAGAGAGAGAGGGAAAAAGACAAACCAAGAAACAGACTTTTAACTATCGAGAACAAACTGATGGTTACCAGAGGGGAGATGGGTGAGGGATGGGTGAAATAGGGGATGGGGATTAAAGAGCACACTTATCATGATGAGCACTGGATGTTGTATGGAAGTGCTGAGTCACTATACTGTATACCTGAAACTGGTATAACACTGTATGTTAACTATACTGGAAGTAAAATTAAAAACTTCATTAAAAAAAAAAAAAGAAGTGGTATGTAATTTTCCCCAGTCCTTTAATTTGCATTGTCTTTGTGATATACTTTGACCAAAAGAATGTGGCAGAGTGATGGTGTAATGGGTTGAATTATGTCTACTCCCCACTCCCCTGCAAAAAAAAAAAAAGTTGTGTTGAAGTCCCCAGTACCTCAGTATGTGGCCTGATCTGTAAATAAAATCTTCACAGAGGTCAAGTTAAAATGAGGGCACTAGGGTTGGCCCTGTCCAATATGACTGGTATCCTTACAAAAAGGGGAAATTGAAAACAGAGACATGCACAGAGGGAAAATGATGTGAAGACACAGAGAGAAGATGGTCATCTACAAGCCAGGGAATAACTGAGGCTACGAGAAACTAGGGAGAGAAGACTGGAACAGCTCCTTCCCCAATGCCTGCAGAGATGGTATGACCCTGCTAACACCTTGGCTTCAGACCTCTGGCCTCCATAACCATGAGACAATAAATTTCCCATTGTTCTAAGCCACCCTTTGTAGTACTTTGGTGAGCCCTAGGAAACTAATATGGATGGCATGATAGTTCTGAGTCTAAGCCTCCTCCACTCTCTGTCTCTCTTTCTCTCTCCCTCTCTCTCACCTTCTCTCTCTTATACTCCTCTGTCCTCACCATAAGAATATGCCCCATCTAGGGGCGCCTGGGTGGCTCGGTCGTTAAGCGTCTGCCTTCGGCTCGGGTCATGATCCCAGGGTCCTGGGATCGAGCCCCGCATCGGGCTCCCTGCTGAGCGGGGAGCCTGCTTCTCCTTCTCCCTCTGTCTACCACTCTGCCTACTTGTGCTCTCTCTCTGTCAAATAAATAAATAAAATCTTTAAAAAAAAAAAAAAAAAAAAGAATATGCCCCATCTAGAATAAGTCTGAGAATAAGTCCGGACTAGCCAGCCAAGAGATGACAGACCAGTCCATAGCCAGCTGACCACAGACACTTGAATAAACCCAGGAAAGACCAGAAGAACTGCCTAGCCACCAACAGAGACTCTTACCATTTTGATAAGCTTTGTTATGCAGAACTACTGTTGCAATAAATAACTGATACAGAAAACAAGATCACACAAACCAAACAGTAACATGTAAGAAACACATCATATTAGAATGTTACCTATGGAGGAATGGAGAATGAAGAAAAAATGGAATAAGCAGACAAAAGGGTTTTGTTTTGTTTTGTTTTGTTTTTTGCAGAATAGTGATACTATGCAATGAATAATTAAGTCAACACTATACAAAAAGTGAAATATGTAAATAAATAAAAATTAATAATGAGGCCTAAAAATAATTATGGACTGGAGAGGTATGGGGGTGGGACAAGATTTGTGTTGTGGGTTAAATTATGTACCCCTCAAATTCATATGTTGGAATCGTAACCCCCAGTAGCTCAGGATGTGACATTATTTGGAAGTAGGGTCACTGCAGATATAATTAGTTAAGATGAGGTCATTAGGGTGGGCCCTAATCCAATATGACTAATGTCCTTACAAAAGGGGGAAGTTTGGACCTAGAGGAATGCACTCAGGGAGACAACTGGTGAAGATGAAGGCAGATGAGAAGGATATTTTTACAAGCCAAAGAATGCCAAAGATTTCCAGCAAACCACCAGAAACTAGGAACAGATTCTCCTTTACAGCCTTCAGAAGTAACCAACCTTATAGACACCTTGATTTCTGCCTTCTAGCCTCCAAACTGAGATAATAATAAATTTCTGTTGTTTATTGTTTAAGGTCCCCCATTTGTGGTACTTGACTAAAGCAGCCCTAGCAAACTAATACAAGGTATGGTGAGGAGGACATTACTCCTCTCCTACCTAGAACTGGATGATGAATCCCCAGGATTTGAACTGAATGGGCGATGATAGTTACCTTTCCCCTCCTCTACTCAGAACTTGGTGATATTTGGTGATATTTATTTTCATAAACAGTATCTCTCCAAATGAAACATTTCTCAGTTTTCTAATTTTCATTGAGAAATATTCCAATTAAAGATACTTATTTAATTTCCCTTACCACGATGGCAATTTATGACTAGATCAAACCAAGTAACAATATTTTGGGATCTTATTCATTCATCACAGGCTCCTCTCTGATTTTCACTTTAGTAGTTAGGCCCATAGCCTCCATATCCCATTGGTCACAAAGGCACTAAAATGACTTAATTTGAGCATTAGAAGGTAACACCTAAAATAAGTGGTTAGCAACTTCTTATATATATCATGGAGGTGACTGCAGAAACCTGTAAGCTGACAATCAGTATTTATTTTTGCTTATACTGTCCACCACTGTGTAGGTCCTGGGTCTTCCTCTCTGTCAACACCCACCTCTAAGGAAATTCCAGGTTAGGGAGGCATAAAGAATCTCTGAGCAGCTGCTTTTCTGCTGACATCTGGTGCCCTTCCTCACCCCTTCTCCCCATTAGGGCATGGAAACCTAAAAATAAATTGTTCCCATACCTTCAATCCTTTTCTCCTCCTCCAATGACATGCCAGTTTCTGAATCCTCATAGCTCTGTTCTTCATCAGAGAAGTGCGTGGTTTCTGAAAATGCAGAACCCTCTTCACCATCATAAACACTGTGTTCTGAGTCATTATAATTCTCTTCTTCCACAGCAGGCTCTGCATCTTCAGAGTATCCAAGAGATTCTAGATATTCCTCTTTTCCTAAGTACAGAGAATCATCTGGCTCCTTGTATCTCTGTCCATCCTGTAAATATGCAATAGTTGCTGGAATTTCATATTCAGTGTTCTCAAATGAAGGTGGCAATATGACTTTGGGTGTGTTGTATTCCTCCTCATTTTCCCTGGGGGTCCAAGCAGTTTCTTTATGACTAGTTTTCTTGTCCCCGAAGGATTCAGAGGTTCCCATATCCAGGTGTTCTTTCTCTGTGAAGGACACTGTGATCTCAGGATTCTCAGGCTGTTTCTCTCCAGAGGAAAAAACATCTTCTGAATTCTTGCTTACCCTTATAGGCTGAGGAGGTCCTATATTATCATGCTTTAAAAATTCTGAAAAGAACAAGAAAGGGGGGGGGGCAGTTGTTTCATTTTTCCAAATTAACAAAAAGAAATTTTATAATATCTTGAGTTTCCAAGACCTCAAAGCATCATCTCTCTTCTTTATTTCAAAACTGGAGGATAGGAATACCTAGCATTTCCCACACAAATAACAAGTCAACTGTCATTCTTTCTCTCACTGGAAAAAAATCAGATCACATTCCTACCTTGCTCAAAAGTTTGAGTTCTTCTTAACAAACTCTAAGAGTACATGAGTAAAACAGAAAATGTGAATCCTATAAATAGTGCTTACTTGTGGTTTTACTGTAACCCAAAACCAACTCAGATTTCCTAGGGCCATTGCTAATGAAATCTGATCCTAATAATTTCTAATCAGGAAGCAAACAGCTCGAATTTGGAATAGTAAGTCCTAGAAATAATAGTATCTATTTCTCTAAGCACATGGGTCTTGTCCTGCATTAGAGATCATTTGCATTAACCTTTTTTATCTGAGCCTCTACCTCTCTAATATCTCTTAAAATAATTTTCAATATTTTTTAGAACTTTAGAAAAAGGAGCTGCACCTGCCTCTAGTGATAATCTACAGAATTGCTAAATCCATTCTGGAAGAATTACTCCTTTATCTGCCGCGAACTATCTTTAAATATTGGAGAATTAGCATTTGAATTGCTCCAGAAAAGTAGGCTTCTGCTGGCATTCTTATCACAGAAAAAAAATGAAATTACTGATCCACCATGTATGTGTGCTAAAAATCATTTTTCTGATATTTCCAAAATCGTTATACTAAGTGAAAGAGGCAGCTTTGGTCTTGGGGTTGTTAAATATCCATGAATTTACTTATTGAATAGTAAGCAGTTTATACTAGCACTAAAAACAAAAACAAAAACAAAAAAAACCTTTAAGTTTTGGATACAGTTTCAACAAAAAATTATCAATCCCCTAAACCAATAAGATACATTGTTCCCTGCTTTTAAGATCCTGGACACTTTTACCCTCTATCACATTTCAGTGAAAAATATCTCTGGGAAATAGACCAATGAAAACAAAAGGCAATCATTTTCTTTTTTCAGGAAATCTGCCTTATCTTTCTCACCCCCCAAAAAGTATAGAAATCCAACTTACCATGCCGTAAGCCCCAAATGGTAGCTGACTCTGGAAAAGTACTAAGTAAACACTTGAGAAAATGCTGACAGCTCACCTCTCCCTTTTTCTGTACCAAAATTAACAGCTTTCGACTTTTCTTCAGGGGATCTGTAATTTTCTCCAGAGTCTCATACTCTTCCTCAGAAACCAGCCTCCGAGAGGTTAATGTATCTAAGACAGAATCAGGATCTTGTTGGAGGATTTCAAGTAACTTTTTTCGTTCTCTTTCTATGATCTCTGAAGGAACACTCCCCGCAGCCATTGTTCTTCTGTCCTCTAGACCAGGAAATGGATTACGAAACCGTTCCAATAGTACATAAATACAGGTTTAAAAAAAAATGGCAAAGAATAATTCTATTTGTCAAAGATTAAACAGGTCAAAGATGCCCGGCACTGGAGAGAGTGGGTACAAACAAGGCAAGACAGTGTGGAAATCTAGCCCTGAGCCCACCCAGGCCTGGCTCCTTATAGATTATCTATCTTCCCCCCCCTTTTTTTTTATTTTATCATGTTATGTTAGTCACCGTACAATACGTCATTAGTTTTTGATGTAGTGTTGAACGCTTCATTGTTTTCGTATAACACCTAGTGCTCCATGCAGTATGTGTCCTCCTTAATACCCATCACCGGGCTAGCCCATCCCCCCACCCCCTCCCCTCTAGAACCCTCAGTTTGTTTTTCAGAGTCCATAGTCTCTCATGGTTTGTCTCCCCTTCGATTCCACTCCCCCACCCCCCACCCCCGCTTCATTTTTCCCTTCCGTAGCATGGCGGACATTAGATTATCTACTCTTTTGATGACTTGAGTCCATCTCATCTTGACTCAGCCCCAGGGTCAATTGCTCCGAGAAGGCTCTCTTGAACTTCAGTTTGGACTAGGTATTCCCTGCTCTGAGCTCTATTTGTGATAAGAATGTGAATTGATTAACTCTTTCAGGAGAGAAATCTGGCAATAGGCAGCAAAAAATAAATAAATGCTGATAAACACACAAATTTATACCATTTGACTCAGCAACTTCATTTCTAGGAAATTATCTTAAGGAAATAATCAGACAAATGCCCAAAGATATATGTGCAAGAATCTGCATGACAACATTGTTTATAACAGCGGAAAACTTAAAATAACCAGGATTTCCATAAATTGGGGATTTGTGGAATAAATGTTGATACATCAGCAGTGAAACAGAAAAGAACCGTTTAAAAGGATGAAGCAGGGTGCCTGGCTGGCTCAGTCTGTAGAGCATGAGACTCTTGATCTCAGGGTCACGAGCACAACCCCCACATTGGGGGTAGAGTTTACTTAAAGAAAAATAAAGAAATAAATAAAAGGATGAAGTAAGTCTATGTATATTGACAACTAGTGCTATCCATGATATATTGTTATGAAAGACAGAAAGTTACACATCCCACTTTTGTTTAAAAAATTAAAATGTGTATAATGTACATATATAAAATGTATATATAGATATATATTTAAAAGAAGACAGGAGAGAGATACCCCAATTGTAACACTGGTTATCTCTGGGGATACTTTAAACACTACTGCATATTTAATAGTTTACATTTTTGTTTCTATTAGCAGACTTCAGTTTTTATTTATTTTTTAGATTTTATTTATTTATTTATTTGAGAGAGAGAGTGAGTATGTGTGAGTGCATGTGCGTGCAAGGTGGGGGAGGGGGTAGACAAGCAGATTCTGTGCTGAGCACAGAGACCTACATGTTACGGAACCTGGACTGGATTGCCCGTTGGAAGAACCAAGTGGCACCTGGAGATCTTGGAGGACAGGAAGTTCATTTAATGCCAGCACGCTCAGAGGAGAGTGGTCTCCAAAGGTCTCAGCCCCGAGTACAAAGGGGGCAATTTATACACTTCTACTTCCGCATACTTGGCACTTTTGGCACGTGCGAGAAGCGGGACAGGGAGAAGAACCCAGATTGGTGTGCGCAGGAAGCAGAGCAGGGAGAAGAACCCAGAAGAGCCCCAGGGCAAGGACTGGGACTCTCACTGGCTCAGTCGGCCATCTTAGGGCACAATTTTCCTTACCATACACAGCTCGATCTCACGACCCTGAGATCATGACCTGAGCTGAAATCAAGAGTAGAAGGCTTAACCAATTAAGCCACCCAAACACCCAACTATCTAGTTGGTCTTTTTTTTTTTTTTTTTTTTAGTATTTATTTATTTATTTGAGAGAGAGAGCACACGGGAGGGAGGGACAGAGGGAGAATCCCAGGCAGACTCCACGCTGAGCACAGAGCCCAACCCAGGGCCTCTCCCACAACACCAAGATCATAACCTGAGTGGAAACCAGGAGTCATACACTTAACTGACTGAACTACCCAAGCTCCCCTAGTTGGTCTTTATTTACAGTGCCATAGTTCACAAGAACCTGAAGACAATCTAAGTAACTATCAACAGGATACTAGATGAATAAACTGTAGTATTTCATGTACCAGTATGCACTATTCAAAAAGAATGAACTTCAGTGACCCACAATATAATCATAAAAATATAAAAGGAAAACTTTAAGTCCCAAAAGATTATATACCGCATGATACCCTTTTTAAAAGTTGAATGTAATTTAAATACATACACATGCATACACACATTTTAGGAATATACATGGAGTCATTAAAATTGTATAAAGTGTGGGTGCCTAGCTCACTTGGTAAAGCATGCAACTCTTGATCTTGGGGTTTTAAGTTCAAGCCCCACGTTGGGTGTAGAGATTACTTAAAAATAAAATCTTTAGGGCGCCGGGGTGGCTCAGTCATTAAGTGTCTGCCTTCGGCTCAGGTCACGATCCCAAGGTCCTGGGATCAAGCCCCGCATCGGGCTCCCTGCTCAGCGGGAAGCCTGCTTCTCCCTCTCCCACTCCCCCTGCTTGTGTTCCCTCTCTCTCTGCATCTCTCTGTTAAATAAATAAAATCTTAAAAAAAATAAAATCTTTAAAAAATTATATAAAATGAAAAGTAAGGAAATAATGAAGTTAAGAAGGGTGGTTTCCTAGGTTCAGGAGAAGTTGGGGATAAGATGGGATAAGGGGACAGGGAGATTATGGAGTTAGACGTAGGATATCATCTAGGGATGAGTTTAAAGGTCCTTACTATATTATTAAAGGTAATTAAATATGTAAATAAAGGCAGGGATCAATGCTGCATGGACCAATACTGAGGATGTATTAAGAATCAAGGATAATAATTCAATTCTACTGTCCCTGAGGTTGAAAAAAGATTAAGCAAATCCTTATGTAATACTAAAAATTAATTTTAGGTAAGAGTTTTAACTAAATGTGCCTCAAAAGTAGGAATTTTGGGGCGCCTGGCTCAGTCGTTAAGCATCTGCCTTCGGCTCAGGTCATGATCCCAGGGTCCTGGGATCGAGCCCCACATCGGGTTCCCTGCTCCGCGGGAAGCCTGCTTCTCCCTCTCCCGCTCCCCCTGCTTGTGTTCCCTCTCTCGCTGTGTCTCCCTCTGTCAAATAAATAAAATCTTTAAAGAAAAAAAAAAGTAGGAATTTTGAGGTGCATCCCAGCTAATACTAACAATTTGACAAGGCAATATCAGTAAGTTTGCCAACCCTTTTTTTATTCCCTTCGGTTGGTAAGGCATTCTATAATAGGCTCCTCAAACCCCATCTCCTCCCCACTGCTCCACCCTAAATACCCTCCCCTCCCACAAGAACCTGCCCTGGGAGATTTCAAAGTTGATGGGAAGGAAAGTGTTTAAGTGGGATATTTAGCAAAGAAATTTAAACTTAGGAAGTTTAAATTCAGTTCTTTGGTAATAGCAAATTCGCATTGCACTGGCTTAGAATGCAAATGTAAGGGAGCTGGGGAAGGGTGGCCAGGAGATACAGATTTGAAAATACATCCCTCAAATCAAATCAATCACAAGGAGTAAAAATTTTGTTTGCAGCTAAGAAATTTATGTGATGTCTTAAAGAGAAAAGGCAGCAGTAATTTCATTTATTGTAGGGGGAGAAAAGCAGATCTAGTGCCAAGTTCTGGTCAAGAGACTTGAACTGTATCAGAATCACGGATGCAGGATTTACGTAGTCTCCATTATTCTCTGCTGAAAGGCAACATTTCATAGAGCAAATACGTCAGGAATAGCATATACCATCTGTTTCAAAAGTTGATTCATGCTGGGGCGCCTGGGTGGCTCAGTCGTTGGGCGTCTGCCTTCGGCTTAGGTTGTGATCCCAGCATCCTGGGATCGAGCCCTGCATCGATCCCGGCTCGGCGGGAAGTCTGCTTCTCCCTCTACCACTCCCCCTGCTTGTGTTCCCTCTCTCGCTGTGTCTCTGTCAAAAAAAAAAAAAAAAAGTTGATCCATGCCACCTAACCCTGGCATTTGGATAGGAACCTGGAAGTTATAAACTGGCTTTGAAGAGCCAGGGGTTTTCCTGATCAGGGCCAAAATAGTATGGTATCAGAAACAACCACTTTACATCAAGGAGCAGGAAAAATATTTCACTTTGTCTACAGTTCTGGGAGGGTCTGAGGTAAAAGAGAACTTCACACAGTGCCTGTCAAACTGCTTGCTTGGGTCCTCAGTGGTTGCCACCTGCCTTACCTTTCCTAATCGCATTTCTTCTAACACCCGTACTAGGCAGAATAATGATCTCCCACTGTCCTTCCCAATGTCTATGTCCTAATTAATACAACCTATAAATATGTTAGGTTACATACCAAGGGACAATTAAGGTTACAAATAAAGGTTGCTAAATCAGCTGATCTTGAGCTGAGGAAGTTGTCTGGTGGGGCCAATGCAATCACAAGCGGCTGTTAAAAAGTAAACAGAGGCATATTTAAAATTTGAAGTTTGAGCAAAATTCAGTTCTAACAGGGCAGTGCCAAATGAGAAGTGGGTTAGGAATGCTCAGCCTCCTGGAGCCAGGGGAAGGAGAAAGTGCAAAAGTAAAGAAAGGAAATTGATTGGCTATAGCTTTAGGCCTAGTGGTTTGTGATTGGTTGTCCTTAGTGGTTGTTTTGTTTGTTGGCTTTTATTTAAATAATCTCTACAGGCAACATGGGGCTCGAACTCACTACCCAAGATCAAGAGTCCATGCTCCTCTGACTGAGCCAGCCAGGCATCCTGTCCTTAGTGTTTTGGTTTTCCAATCCTGAGGCATTTACGGGCTTAGATTTCTGTTTGCTTAGTAGGTCCCCAATGCATTAGAGCCACCTCAGTTCAATGACCTCCTTGTTTAACTTAACAGGGCCTTAAAAGTAGAAGAGGGACACAGAAGGGTGTGATAGGAGACTCTTAACTGGATTTAAATAAGCCAAGGAATGCTGACAGCCTCTAGAAACTTAAAAAGGTGACAACAGATCTTCCAGAGCCTCCAAGAAAATAATGCAGCCCTGCCCACACTTTGACTTGGGCCCAGTGAGACCAATCTCAGCCTTGTGACCACAACCGTAATGTGTGTTTTAACTGCAGTTAAGAAGAACACTTAACTAGAGATCTACCCTCTTAACAGATTTTAGGTGTACATATACAGTATTGTTAACTATAGGCACAATGAGGTACAACATAGCTCCAGAATTTATTCCTCTGGATAAATGAAATTTTTTAAAAAGCAGTATAGCTTAATTAATTTGTTTTGTTTTAAGCCACTAACTTTGTGGTAACTACTTAGAACAGTAGTAAGAAACTAATACAGCATCTAATCCAGAAAGCCCCCTGAATGGCAGTTTGGTCCAAGCATTCACAAGTTGGCTTCCTCTTTACCCCCTATTTACCGTTTCCATGAGGACAGGGACTGTCCTATAAACCCCTGATTCCTAGAGCTCATTTTGTTCTGCCACCGACTAGTCCGTCACTTTTGCTATTTCACATGTGACAGGTAAAGAATTCTCGGTTTACATAGAATGTAAGCACATTATATGGCTCTTTGGGATCTTTTTCCCTGTTAACTCTTAAATGTTTTAATTTTTTGTTGTTTTGCGAGAGTGGGGGCGTTGCTGGGTAAGAGGTTACAACTGGATTAGCGTCTATCAAGATCTGGAAACCACCAACTCAGAATCTATTTAGAAAGGGCTTAAGTACAGACTTCCAGGCCCTACCTACCTAAAGGGGCGAATCAGATTTCCTATATTCAAAGGTTCCACGTGTGATCCCTTAGCATACTTAAATTTTACATCAAAAATTTGCCTCTAAACTACTACAGTTAGAAAAAACATTATTCGCCTTTCTTTTTAACATTCGGAGCCCAGCTCCTCAGAGGCCGGTCCGTGCCTCCTAACCGCCGGCGACCTCCCGGAGAACCAGCGTCAGCCACAAGCTTCTAGCCGGGTGAGGAGGGATCCGGAGAGGCCAGTTTCTCCCAGATGGGAATCCCAGTCCCATCCGGAACCCTCCACGCCGGGAGCGCGGAGGTACCCCCACAGGTTCCCCACCAGCTCGGGGACCGAAATCCGCGATGTGGCCACAAATCCGAGAACACGAGGCGGCGGGAGAGCAGGAGCATCCGCACAAAGAACCGAGTTCTGGCATCAAGGTAGTTCTCGGCCACGGCGGGTCCGGCGAACACACACCCGTTCCGACGCCAGGAAGCCGTGAGCCCTCCCGTCGGCGGAGCGCCGAAACCCCTATTGGCCCTGCCTTGCTCTGCATCCTCCTTTAGACCCCACCCCCACTGCGGCTACGGACGTTTGAGAACGGTGCACCGCGCCCTGCCGGAAGTACTTCCCTGGGCGGAAGCTTCTGAGCACGATATAGCGGAAGTGCCTCCTCTTCCGGCCTCTTTGGGGTCTGCCGCGGAAACAAGATGGTGAGTTGTTTCCAGTGGTTCTCCGAATCGCCTTCCATCCTCGTCCTGTGCGTCGCGCTCCCTGCCATCCTTAGGGGGCCGGCAAGGTCGCTGATAGAGGGAGCGGGTGGGCAGGAAAGGGGCATGCGGTGGCCCTCAAGAGCCAGAAGAATGGCTCCTAACTGTACCTGGGGATGCTGAGTCTACAGTCGTGGAGTAGGAGCCACTCTAGGTTCCTTGTTTTCTTTTGATCTTTGGAGAAGCGTTGCCCTCGGATGAGAACTGAAGGAAGAAGCGTGGTCTGGGAGTGTTTGGCTCTGTAAGCAAAAAAATTCATTGTTGATGAGGCCTGGCAGGAGCTCTTAGGTTTGGGGGTCGGGGTAGGTGGGAAAACCACCACGTTATTTCGTCTTGCGGCTTGTCTTTTTTCTCTCTCCTTCAAAGAATGTAGTCGATTTCAAAATAAAGCAACCCCTGCAGAAGGCTTTAGATACCGTGAAATGCTGGTAGTGGTCTCTGATTTTGCATTTAAGGAGTTAGGAAGTTCGCCACAGTTTCAGCCCTAGATTGTCTTTAAACTTTTCTCTACCTGTCTTTACATCTTAGTAATTTCTTTTCCTGAAAATGTCGGGATATGTATAGAAATCAGGAGATCTCAAAATCGTTCCTCCTCTTTGCAGACGAAGGGGACGTCATCGTTTGGGAAGCGTCGCAATAAGACGCACACGCTGTGCCGCCGCTGTGGCTCGAAGGCCTACCACCTTCAGAAGTCCACCTGCGGCAAGTGCGGCTATCCTGCCAAGCGCAAGAGAAAGTGTAAGTGGACTGTGTTTCGGGCCGACTGTGTCCGGTGTTGGGATGGAGGTCAGTAGTCTGTGTGCGATGTAGGGAAGTGGGCGTGGCTTGGGACGTTAGTTGGTACTTAACGTAAAAGGGCATCTGTATAGGGGTGAAGTGGATTTAAAAAAACAAGGCAGGCAGTCTTTAAGCATGTTGACCAACGGTGCCCATAACGTATGTGGGGAAGGTCAGAACCTTACCTGAATTTGTGTTTTAAAGATTTTATTTATTTATTTAAGACAGAATGAGAGAGAGAGAGAGAGCGCGCTCATGAGAGGGGGGAGGGTCAGAGGGAGAAGCAGGCTCCCCGCCGAGCAGGGAGCCCGATGCGGGACTCGATCCCGGGACTCCAGGATCATGACCTGAGCCGAAGGCAGTCGCTTAACCGACTGAGCCACTCAGGCGCCCTCTCATTTGATTGAATTTGTGTTATTTAGATAACTGGAGTGCCAAGGCTAAAAGACGAAACACCACTGGGACCGGTCGAATGAGACACCTAAAAATCGTATACCGCAGATTCAGGTACAGTTTTTTGTGTTTTCATCGTAACTGGTTCTGTGAGCTTGGAGAAGAACCTCCTTAATCTGCTTTAAAATAAGGATACTATCCCGGTTAGTGGGGATGAAGTGTTGGAGGGTATTTTTTTCTGCTGCCACTGTAACCTTCAGATCAGTTAATCTGGATTTTGTTAATCTCTCAATGAGCAACATTATAAGTAAATGTCTAGAGTGCGGTTTGAGCTAGACACCCCAAAATGTAATAATATTTCTTAGGGATAGGTTACACCTCACTTTCTTACCAAAATTCGTCAAGACAAGAGTGGTGATTGAGGTCCGGGATTGGGCCTTCACTTAATGTGGCTTTGTGCAAATCTGCTATAGAAAACCATCATAATTACTGCATTTGTATAGAAAGATATCTTACTGTCTTGTTAAAGTCAGGCTTTAGAGTTGTTAGAAATGGAGAATTTCAGCCCCAACTTACAGAGAAACTGCATTTTAACGGTGTCTTTTAAAGCGTTAGTCATTTAGGTCTCAACTAAGATAATTCTTTGTTGGGTAGACTGTCCTGTGCTGTGTGATACTTAGCAGAATCCCTGGCCTTTGCCCCCTCAATTCCAGATTTTCTAGCTCTAAAAGATCACCAGGCATTTTGGGGCTTTGTAAACACAACACCCTTCGATGTGTTTATGTGCTGAGGAGACCTTCTTTGCACTTCAAAGCATAATACAATAGTGTGGGCTTGTAGTGAGTGCACTGCTATGTAATGTAGGAGTTTGAGAGCATGAACTGAAGGCAGACTAACCTTTAAAAATGGGGTAACAGTACACTTTCTCCTTAGGATGTGTATGTATAATAAATGAGTTAAAATGTAAAGCATAGTTAAGCAGTTTGGAAAATGTCAGCGATTAAACATGCTCCTTGTTTTGCCTTGACTAAAGGAAAGTACTTAGGGTCTCTGCCTGGTAACCTAGGGACCCATTTTCAGAAATGGGTCTCTCAACGCAAGCAGGAGAGAAGTATTGGCCCAGTGATCGGGACAACCAAATAAATTCTTGACCTTTTTTCTAATTGCAGTTAAGTGTATGTTTAAAACAGGTATCTTGAAGCAGAAGGAAGTAAATAAAATATTGTAGCTTATCGATGATGGTTGTAAAAATAAATGTCTGAACATATGAATCTGATACTGATTTCAGCATTTAACTGAGATAAGCTCATTTAAATCTGTATTAATAAAAATTGAAATGTATATATTATTGCTGAAGTAACTGGTTTTCATTTTTAATACAATGCAGGCATGGATTCCGTGAAGGAACAACACCTAAGCCCAAGAGGGCAGCTGTTGCAGCATCCAGTTCATCTTAAGGATTTCAACGATTAGTCACAATAAACGTTCTGGTTTTAAAAAAAATACCTGGTGTGCTAAGGTATTTTTAATAGCCTTGTAGTATCATTGAATTGCCATAGGATTGGGGATGGGACAGCGTAATATTTAGATTTACTTGTTAAGTGACTGTTCTGGAGCACTACCTTTTGAACTGGGGTTGTGATACTGCTTAGAAGGATAAGAAACAAGCAGAATTCCAGGATTCCTTCAAGCACATAACACTGGAAAACGATTTAAAGAATGCAGTATGAGCACAGCAGAGCTCATGATACATATGGGTGTTTAAGATGTTAAGAGTAGGGGCATCTGGCTGGCTCAGTTGGAGGAGCATGGAACTCTTGATTTCAGGGTCGAGTTTGAGCCCCGTGTGGGGTGTAGAGACTTAAGTAAAACTTAAAAAAAAAGTAAATGAAAAAGCGTAATTGCTTTTAGTAGTATCCATCTGTTATAGTCTAATGACTTTGGGGAGTGGTCATCAATCTTACGTCATAGGGTTTGGAGACCAGTGAGAACATGAAGGATATAGTGATTGAATGAGTTGTTTTTGGAAAGGTGATCTTAATTCATTCTAGTCTCTAAAATGCTTGCTTGGTATCTAGCATATAGGCTTGTGTGTGATGTAGGTGGCCAGCTGAGTATTTGAAGCTACTTGCTAGGTGTGAGTCAAAGACCCTGGAGTGGGATGGGTTAAGAGAATGTTGGGTCACATGCAAATTCAGTGGATTGAGTACAAAGTAAAGGAAAGCCAAACAGATAAACTTAACATTTGTAGATGAAAGGCAATGATACATAGGTCCCCAGTAGAGTTTCTTTAACCGTCAACTGAGTGATAATTGATTTTTCTGTGTTAAAAGACTGAAATTTTTCGCCACGCTTTCCCAGTTCTGGTGGTTTATTGCCAGTATTTTGCAATGAGGAGACAAGGCCAATGTAGTTGGGACTGCTGAGTGAGAGAACAGAGATTAAGTGGAGCGCAAGTGTTAATAAAGTGGCCAGGTACTGAGTAATTTGCGGCTTCCCATTCATCACAACCTGACCTATAAAGGACTTTCATGATCTTCAGTGCCTTCCCAACCTTAACCTTTACTGCACCCTGTAATGCTTTCCCAAGATACTAGCTAAGTCCTGCCTTCCTGCCTTTTTTTTTTTAAGATCCATTTATTTGAGAGAGCAAGCACAGGTGTGTGTGAGCAGGGGTAGGGGCAGAGGGAAAGAATCTCAAGCAGACACCCTGCTGAGTGATCTCAAGACCCTGAGATCATGACCTGAGCCAAAATCAAGAGTGGGGTGTTTAACGATTGAGCAACCCAGGCGCCGCCCTGCTTTTTTTCTTTAGCTTCTAACATCCTTAAGATCACGGCTTCCATTCACTTGGGGGAGCCCCAGCTTATCTAAACATACTGGACTTCCCGGTGTGAGACCAGAGTGGCAGCTCTGCTCCAGAGATGTATTGTTAGAGCCTGGTTCCTGGAGGCTGGTTGTCATTCGTTAGTGTGATTTTACTAACTTACATGCCTCTGTTCACTGGCAAACTGGAGGGCTGATGGTAACTTTATGGACTTGTGAGCACAGTCAATAGTAAGGAAGTGAAGTTGCTTTTACCATAGTCACAACCTAAAGTAATTAGAGTCAAGTTAATGAAATTGAAAAACAGCAATTTTAATATACAGGTCGCCTTTGAACAACACACATTGGAATTTTTTTTTTTTTTTTTTTTAAGATTTTAGTTATTTGACAGACACAGCGAGAGAGGGAACACAAGCAGGGGGAGTGGGAGAGGAAGCAGGCTTTCCGCTGAGCAGGGAGCCCGATGTGGGGCTCGATCCCAGGACCCTGAGTAATGACTGAACCACCCAGGCGCCCCTGAATTGTGAGTTTTCAATAAATGCAGTAACAGTACTATGAACTTTACTAAGTTTAACATTTTATCTACCTTTATTGTAAGAGTACAATGTATAATATATACACACAATGTGTGTTGACTTAACCAGTAACGCTTATAATCAACAGTAGACTAAGGTTTTGGAGAGTTGAAACTTACATGTGCATTTTGACTACATGGGCTGTTGGTACCCCAACACCTGCATTGTTCAGACTCAGCTGTACTTGAGAGAATTGAAATCTGATTAGCTGTCAACATCTTTCTGAAATCTTCCAGTGTCACTAATGGTTCCTGAGTAATGGAGGGACCCACTAAGCTAGGTATTGGCCAGTATGTAATAAATAGTAGGCTGTGGGACAAATGGGCACTGACCTGAACACCTGTGAAATTACGAATTCTGGGTCAGGAAAAGCATTGGTGCAAAGGGTAAGGGGCCAGGTGGGCAGTGATGTATTAACAAAGGCTTGTGTTTATTGAGTGTAAGGTGAGCTGACTTCATTTGCCAGTGCCTATGGCCCTTAGCACGGACTAAGTTTGGAAAATTACTCTGGTGCTATGGTAATTATCCCTGCAGATCATAGAAGGCTCATGGACCAAATGAAACCACCCTGCTCAGTTAAATTGATTTTAAGGCCCAGGGAGAAGAAATGGGAAAGAGATGATGCTGGGTTGGCACATTTAGAATAGAGAGCAAACAGGTGGATTCAGATGAGTCATAGTTTGCAGAAAGTTCAGGTCTTGTCTGATGTATCTGATGATGTCCTGAGCATTGGTTGAGGTTTGGGCAGTGGATCCCAATCTGACAAAAGATGTCCCACTTAATTATATTAAGACAGTAAAAGGTACACCTGACCCACTCAGGTAGCTCAGTTACCCATACTGAACTGCTGAGAAATTTTTGTTTCTTGGGCAGAGGGTACTCAGGACCAGTTGAGTAATACCAGTGTGTTGCTGAAATGAGATGCAGAAATAATCAAGTGCTTCATGTCTCATGTATTATTTACCTGGCTCTTTAATCACAGATACTGTGGTTTATCAGGTCAGGAGACAGGGAGAGAGTTGGCAAGAGAAGCATCTGGAGGGGTAAGCTGAACAAATCATGAAAGGTTTCGAGTACCATAGCTAAGGAGTTTGGACTTTAGCCTGAAGGAATGGTAAATCATTGAAGGTTCCAACCCTGCCGTGGCATGATTCGTTTTCACTAGCAAGATAAGTGTAGAAGGTGGTGATACGGATGTCACTGAAGCTGGAAGATCAGGCAGCAGGTTCTGAAGTTTATGTGAAAATCATAAGGATATGGACTGAAGTAGTGGCAGTGGGGCTGGCTGTATTGGGAAGGTCTCTAATGAGAATACCTGAAATTTGAATTGAAGGGAGCTTCTGAGCCCTGTTTCCTTCTGTAACATAGCCTGTGTGAGGATTCCATGAGGTCATATGTGCAAAAATATTACCAGGAAGATAGGAGTCTTGGATGATAGGGTTCTGACCAGGGCAAAGAGGTGGTTTGTGCATTTCACTGAGATGGAGTAGAGTAGAATGGAGGCAAGAGGGGGAAATACTAAAGTTGGTTTTGTTGCAATGCCCGTGGGACATCACAAGGAAATGTTCCGGAAGAATTGAGTAAACCTGGTGGCAGTTGGAGCAGAAGGCGGGGCTGGAGCTCTACACTGGAAGTAGTGAACATAGAGTTGGGAAAGGGATTTTAAGGGTTAGAATGGTGAAGATAATTTACACAGAGATAAGAGGTGATGGTGAGACCTAGTGGGCATATAGAAATGGTGGTGAGAGAAGAGGATGCAATTTCTTGACTGAGGAACTTCAGTAGCCATCCTTGACAGTTGAAGCTGTTTGAAAATATACAAACTCAAGGAAAAAAGACAATGTAGATAGGCTCAAAGAAAGATTTGGGGAGATGTCCATAGACTAGAGAGAGTGGTTCATTCATTTATTCAACATAAATGTGTCTGGTAATGTACCTACTATGTGGCAGGCCATGTTAGAGGTGCAGTGGGAACAAAAACACGCGAGGGGCACTCAGTCACCTGGCTGAGGTCAAGAAAAATGAAGGGTTTTTTTGGTTTGTTTTTGGTTTTTGAAAATGAAGATTTTAAAAATAAAGACTTCCAGGGGTGCCTGGGTGGCTTAGGCAGGTTGAGTGTCTGCCTTTGGCTCAGGTCATGATCCCGGGGTCATGAGTGGAGCCCTGAGTCAGGTTCCCTGCTCAGCAGGGAGTCTGCTTCTGCCTCTCCCCCCGCCTCGTGTGCACACACACTCTCAAATAAATAAAGTCTTTAACAATAAAGACTTCCAGATTTGGTAAAATTTGGGTTAGTGTTTACTTTCCATAAGCTTTATTTCAGTAGAGAATTGAGAATAAAGCCAGTTTTCTAGGGATTCAGCAAAGAGCAGGCAATGAGGAACGGAAAGTTTAAAAAAGATGCTTTGGGAAGGTTACCTGGAAATTCTATGTTTCCTTTCATTTCTATTGATGATGTAGTGCCCTTTCTCCTGAATCAAATACCTGTTCAGTGACCTCTGTGTTCCAGAAGCAGGTCCAGGTCCGGGAGATAGGTGGAAAATGACAAAGGGCCCTGCTCCGACAGATTTCAGTTGGGTGTACATACGCTCGTGTGTGTGTGTGTTGGAGGGTGACTGGGAACAAGTAAGCAATTTCAGGTAGTGATAAATGCTGTAAAAACAAAGATGTGATAGAGAATGTGGGGGGTTAGAGGACCCTTCTTTAGAAAGGTAGTTAAGAAAGCTAAATGATAGGAGCCACCCCTGCAAAGACAACAGTTATTCAGGCAGATATTCGGCTTTTTTGAGTTCTGGGTTGCTTGCAAAATTTAGCTTACGCTGTAATTAGCTGAAATTTTGTAATATTGTATATTCATATAAGAAAAGCAAAGTAACAGGGTACCTGGCTGGCTCAGTTGGTAGAGCATATGACTCTTGATCTTTGGGTTGTAAGTTAAAGTCCCATGTTGGGTATAGAGATTACTTAATAAATAAAACTTCTTTTAAAAAAGGGGCACCTGGGTGGCTGGGCGTCTGCCTTCAGCTCAGGTCATGATCTCAGGGTCCTGGGATCATGCCCTGCATTGGGCTCCCTGCTGGTGGGGAGCCTGCTTCTCCCTCTCCT